TTCCTTTATAGGTAGTACCTGCAGAGGGCCAGGAGAATGGGCAGAGGGAGGAAGAGGAAGAGGAGAAAGAGCCTGAAGCAGAACCTGCTGTACCTCCCCAGGTGTCAGTAGAGGTAGCCTTGCCCCCACCCGTGGAACACGAAGTAAAGAAAGGTGGGTGAAGTGTAACACAGCTCCCTGAATTCCTAGAACACTTCATGTAGACCTCTTTAGACAGTTGATGTTACCTGCTTTCTATTTCCATATCTGTCCATATCTGTCATCTCTGAGATACTAAGCTACTTGAGAGCTGGGTTTGAATCTTTTTAATCTTTGAATCTCCACAGTGAGATTACGCGTAGCTACCTTGCACATTATCTGTTCTGCACTTCTAGAGGGAAGACTGGCTGCTTGGTAGAGAATAAAAGGAAGGGAACCATGAGAGTCATGTTGGATATAAACCAGAATTGCTCCCTAATGAAAGCTGCTCTTATGCTCTCTTTGATAGTGACATTAGGAGATACCTTAACCCGTCGGTCCATTAGCCAGCAGAAGTCGGGAGTTTCCATTACAATTGATGACCCAGTCCGTACTGCCCAGGTGCCCTCCCCACCCCGGGGCAAGATCAGTAACATTGTTCATATCTCCAATTTGGTAAGTCACTTTCCCACATTGCAGACTTACTTAGTGGCTAAGAGTTTAAGCTTTGGCCAGGCATAGTGGCTCACACCTATAATCCCAGCACTCAGGAGGGTGAGGCAGGAGGAGTCCCGTGAGTTGGAGGCCATCCTAGGCTACATAATTCAAGACCAGCCTAGATTACACAGTGAGACCCTGTCTCAAAAAAAAAAAAGAGTTTAAGCTTTGGAATGATACTTCTGAGTTCCAACTCTTAGATCTGCCAGTTACTCACTAACATTGAACGAGTTACTTAAACTGTTTCCTCATCTGAGAAATGGGGAGAACAAAACTCAGCCTGCAGGGCCGAGGATTTAGCTCAGTGGTTTCGCTGCCTGCTGTGCAAGCACAAGGACCCCAGTTCGATCCCCAGTACCAAAAAAAAAAAAAAAACTCACCCTGCAGGGTTGTTTTGAAGAATTGCAGAGGCTTAGCACATAGTCTCTGTTAGTGCTCTGAGCCATCTTCTTCATTTTTGTTGGCAGGTTCGTCCCTTCACTTTGGGCCAACTGAAGGAGTTGCTAGGTCGTACAGGAACCTTGGTGGAAGAGGCCTTCTGGATTGACAAGATCAAATCTCATTGCTTTGTAACGGTGAGGGAAAGAAACTTAATTCTATAGATTGGGGCGTATACTTCCTTCTTGGACCACTATGGGCAGGTTTATGGGCACTGGGACAGAAGGGAAGGAGTGAAGATACACCATGACTTTCTGCCTTCTCTCTCCACCAGTACTCAACAGTAGAGGAAGCTGTTGCCACCCGCACAGCTCTACATGGGGTCAAATGGCCCCAGTCCAATCCTAAATTCCTTTGTGCTGACTATGCTGAGCAAGATGAGGTAAGAAACCTAAGGAAAAGGAAGGGAGGAGCAGGGAAGGTTATCTGCTCAATTCCAGCTGAGATGATTCTTTGCTCTTCTCCCTTACCCCCTTGGTTCCTCTTATTTAACCATGGAGCCTCAAGATATCTTATGCCCCGATATCTGGACTCCTTCAGTGAGTGATGTCATCTCCTGACTGGGCTTTTCCCTCCTCTGCCCACAGCTGGACTATCACCGGGGCCTCTTGGTGGACCGCCCCTCTGAAACTAAGACGGAGGAGCAAGGGGTACCTCGGCCCCTGCACCCCCCACCCCCACCCCCAGTCCAGCCACCACAGCACCCTCGGACAGAGCAGCGGGAGCAGGAGAGGGCAGTGCGGGAGCAGTGGGCAGAGCGGGAACGGGAAATGGAGCGGCGGGAACGAACACGATCAGAGCGTGAATGGGATCGGGACAAAGTTCGAGAGGGGCCACGTTCCCGCTCAAGGTCCCGTGACCGCCGCCGCAAAGAACGTGCGAAGTCTAAAGAAAAGAAGAGTGAGAAGAAAGGTACTTAGCTGGGGGAGCACATGTGTCCCGTGGTTGGTGGGGCAGGGACCCAAATGAGATGGGTCAGAGGGTCCTGTACATCAAGTCTGATTCACTTCCACCTCAGAAAAAGCCCAAGAGGAGCCACCTGCCAAGCTGCTGGACGACCTTTTCCGAAAGACAAAGGCAGCTCCTTGCATCTATTGGCTCCCACTGACCGACAGCCAAGTGAGTAGTCAGGATTCACGGACAGCTAGAGAGAGGAGGCCAGACCCGGGCTTAGATTCTTAAGAGAGGAAATGAAGCATCAGAGAGGTGGTTTTAAGAAATAGTTGATGAGTGTGCCATGGAGAAAAACCAAACCCAAGAGAGTGAACTGGTCAGTCAGGAAGCAAGGTGTGTGGATATCTGGGAAGTTAGCTGTGTTAACCAGGTTTCTTGGAACTTTAATTAGCTGAGAAGAACATGTTTTATAAACACCCATATGTTTCTTTGTTTTAATTTGTAGAGTTTTGGGGTAGTTTTGGTGGTTTTTTCTTTTTCCCCTAGTATTGAAGATTAAACCTCAGGTCTTCACAGTGAGCTACATGTCCCTAGCCTTGTTTTGGACAGTCTTGCACCATGGTGCTAAGTTGCCCAGGCCAAGAGGTTTTTGATTTTGTTTTGGTTTGGGTACTGGGGATCGGACTCCAGACCTTGTACTTTTTTTTTTGGTACCGGGGATTGAACTCAGGACCTTTCACTTGTGAGGCAGGCGCCGGAACCACTGAGCTAAATCCCCAGCCCCAGACCTTGTACTTTTGAGGCCGGTGATGGAACTCCTGAGCTAAATCCCCAACCCTGAGTTTTTGCTTTTTAAAATTTTGCTTCTTGGCAATGAGCCTTTTGAGAATTTTAGGTTTATGCTACTCAGCTAAAGAAGAGATTTGTTTACATCTAGAGAAATACCAAAGGCTGGGTGTGGGTGGATCCAGTACCTGTCATATATAAAAATTGAAAACAGGGAGAGAGGTGCCGAGAAAGACAGGTGCAAGTATGGACCATCCTACCTCCTCCTGCCTAACAGCAAAGCCAACAGCATCCCTGAGCTAGGAGTACAGAGTCCAAACAAGATGGACAAAGCAGCACACTGAACACGAGCAGGCTGCAAATGCCTACTTTCTCCTCTTTCTTCCTGGCCGCAGATTGTTCAGAAGGAGGCAGAGCGGGCTGAACGGGCCAAGGAGCGGGAGAAGCGACGAAAGGAACAAGAGGAAGAAGAGCAGAAGGAGCGGGAAAAGGAAGCCGAGCGGGAACGGAACCGACAGTTGGAGAGGGAGAAACGTCGGGAGCACAGCCGAGAGAGGGACAGGGAGAGAGAGAGGGACAGGGAGCGAGACAGGGGGGACCGAGAGAGGGACAGGGACAGGGACCGGGAACGAGGCAGGGAGAGGGACCGCAGAGACACCAAGCGCCACAGCAGAAGCCGGAGTCGGAGCACACCTGTGCGGGACCGGGGTGGCCGCCGCTAGCGGGGACAACACTAGGAGAGCTGCAGGTACCAGCCACTCTGCCCCAGGGGTCACAGGCCACAGTGGGGTAGGCACAGTCACCACCCCCGAACCTCAGTCTTCACACCATTTGCCCAGTGCTGACTATGGCTGCCTCCTATCCCCACGTACCAGATGGAGCAGCCGCTACTCTGCCCCATGCCTCCTCAACCTATCCCCTGGGTCCTAGCCCTCCTCCCTCTCTTTTCTCATCATCTGTGAGAGGGAAGAGATGGGTTAGGAGGGAGATAGCCGGCCAGAGGTGGGAACAGCCCAGTGCCCCAGCCTCTCCTCCATCCCGCTCACCGCCTGCCTCCCTCGGTACAGCTTCTCTGGGAACAGCTGGGGCCAGGACTGGGTCACCTATGAGCTGAATCAGCGTCTCCTCCTGAGTCCCGGGCCCCAGCGGTTCCCACTCTGTCCTGCAGCCTTTGCCTCTCACCCACTGGTTCCACTTTATATCCACCTTCTCTTTTTGTTCAATTTTTATTTTTATTTTTTTTATTATTAAATGATGTGGTCTATGAAAAAAAATAAAAATCTGACTTAGTTTTAACTAGCACGTGGAGTGGCTTTCCTTGGGAAGGGTTTGGGTGAGATGCCAGACTGAAGAGGAAGGGTGCGGTAAGCGCTCCATGCGCTGGGCTGACTGCTGCTTCCCGGAGCAGAGGCTCCCAGGCCCTGCAGCATCACTGCCTTGGCTCTCACCAGCCCCAAACTTATCTTTCTTACTTGGGAACCCCAGGAAATGGGGCGTCCTGTGCCCAGCAGACATGGGGGCAGCTTCTGCTTCCAGGTCAAGTGCATGATGCGGTCACCTGCTCTCCACCTTCCAGGTGTTCCCCACAACTGCCACCAGGGGGCGGTAGCCCGTCGCTTAGCGGGTTCTTGTAAACCAGCTTCCCAAAAAAGCTTTTACTCCCCGCCTCCGTCCTCCTCCCGATGTCGTGCCTTGGTCCTGACATTCCCTCGACCCGGCCCACGGGTTCCTTGGACCCATCTGCCACCCCAAGTGCACCCCAGCCTTCCCAACACCGTGCTCTGCACAGGCTCTCAAGATGCTCGCTGTAGCCACACCAGTCCCTAAAGCCGGTCAGGGAGCGAGGCACCGGGTCTCCGCAGTGGGCTCCCGCGTCCCCGCCTCCCCGCGCGCTCCCCTTTGCCCCGCAACGGGCGAGGTGCCGGCCGCTCCGCGCTCACGAGCGCAGCCTCCCCGCCGGCTCTTCGGAGACGCGGGTCACGGTGGCCTGGCCATCCACCCCGCTCGGGTGCCCTGCCGCGCGCTGCGGGCCGGGCCGGGAGCGGGGCCGCATCTGTATGCGCCGGGCGGCCCCGGAGCACCGAGGGTTTGGGCGCCAGGCACCGCCCCCGCCCCCGCGCGGCCAGGCTGGCCAGGGAGGGTCGGAGGCTGGGCTCTCCTCTCCCGCGCGGCGCGGAGCCTCCTCGCGCCTCCGCAGGCGGAGCCTCCTTCCCCCGCCCCCTCTGTCTCGCTCCCTTGTTCTCGCCGGGGCCGCTCAGACCTGCAGCGGAGCCGCGGCGCCCGCTCTCGAATCCGCTCCGGGCTGCGCCCTGGGAGCCGGCGACGCGGGCGGGCGAGGGCGCTCCCCGCCGTCCTGGGCTCCTCAGCAGTGCCAGGTAAGGGCGCCTGCCCGGAGCCTGGGGTTGGGAACCCTTGGAGGGGCAGCAGGGGGCCGCAGCCTGGGGCCGTGCGCTCCGAGGCTGCGAGCCGGGCTCCCTTCTCCCGCGCTCTGCTTCTATCCCTTCCTTCTTCCCTCACACCTCTCTCTCTCTTTTTTCCTCTCAGTTGCTCTTCCTCGTCCTTCTCTCTATCGGTTTGCCTTCTCTACCCCTTCCCTCTTCCGTCCCTTCCCTCTCCCTCTTGTCCTGTCTTTTCCCATCTCTTCTCCCTCTTTGCCTTTTCCTTCTTCTCCCTCTCTTCCCTTTCCTGTCTCTTTCCCCTCTCCTGCCTTCCTTTCCTTCTCCTGTTGCCTCCTTTCCCTCTGCTTTCCTCTTCCCGCTATCCTGTTACCCACTCCTCTATCCCCTTCCTTCTCTCCTCATCCCGCCTCCCTCTCCAGTCTCCAGCTTCCCTCAAGCTTCTCCTCTCTCCGGAGCAAACGGACTGTCAGGTGTGTGTATGCTCCAGGGGAGGAGGAGGAGGAGCAGCAGCTACCTGAGGGGTCCCCTCTGGAGGAGAGGGAGGAGAGTGGTGGGAAGGGTCCCCTCTCCAGCTCCCTTCCCGCAGCCCTTCCCTGCCTCCGCTGCTCCTGCCTGTTTCCTCTCCCAAAATGAAGTTCGGAGGCCTGATCTGACCCCCACTGCACACACTTGCTGAAAGCCCCTCTGCACCCCCACCGAAGGTTCCCAAGCCCAGCATCCCCTGACTCCTCTGCCTTTCAGACACCCAGGCTGCTTCCCTGATCTCTCTCCCCTCTTGCTGCCTTTCTGTCTCTCTGCTGTTCAGTCTGTCTCTCACCTGGTCCTCTGAGTCTCGGTCCAGCCCTCAGCCATACTATGTCTCTAGCCTCTGGGTGTGCCCCACTTCCTCACTCCCTCTCATCACTGCCCACAACCTTGTCTCCTCTCTTTCCAGCTCTGGCCCCCACTCTGCCTCCTGAGACCAATCCACCTTCAAGGACTGCAGCTGGCAGTGTGGGCTGGGGGCAGGGTCTGGAGAGGTGAGGTTCCCCATAGGGGAGGGACTGTCACAGGCTCACACCCGCCTTGTGAGGGAGTCCTTGTCATCTCAGCCTGAGCCTAGACTCCTGAACACCACACCTCTATGGATCCCAACGCCTTAATTTTAAGCCCTTTCTCTGGTAACCCCCACTCTAGTCCCCTGGCTATATGCCAAGGTGGGAGGACAGGGCAGGAGTTGGGATTCCAAGTCCTCCAGCACCCCTTTTCCCATCTTCCTCCCCAGCTTCTCAGAGTTGACAGGCCAAAGATTTATCAGTTTGAAGGGCTGGAGGTGAATACAGGCAGAGCCTGCTTGGGAGGGAAGGATCATACTGCTCTCTGTCTTAGTCTGGTTCTGGGCAGTAGGATATATAGTTCCTTGGAGATCTGGTCTTCAGCTTCTGATTTTGGGGAAGATTGGAGTTGAGGGTTTCCTTGACCCTAAGCAGGTACCTGTCCTACAGGTGTGGATCCATGGGGTAGCTGCAACACATCCGCCCCTCTGCCCCAGCCAGCTCATGGGCTTCCTGGTCCTGCCCAGCCTCAGCACCCGAGGCCAGTGAACAGAATCGTGGCCATAGTCCAAATATGTGGGGCCTGGTGAGGCTCCTGCTGGCTTGGCTGGGTGGCTGGGGCTGCATGGGGCGTCTGGCAGCCCCAGTCCGGGCCTGGGCAGGGTCCCGAGGGCGCCCAGGTCCTGCACTGCTGCGGACCAGAAGGAGCTGGGTCTGGAACCAGTTCTTTGTCATTGAGGAATATGCCGGTCCAGAGCCTGTCCTAATTGGCAAGGTAAGGATCAACCTCTCCCATGTCTGCTCTGACTACTCTGACAGGCCCATAAGCCCTGCCCTCAACTTCTTCACTTCTGCAGTGACCTTGCTCCCTCAGGACTCTCAACTCCATCCAAACCTAGACTCTAACCCTCTGTCCCTGCACTTGGAGTTCTCTGCCATTCTTCCCTGACTCCTACAGCTGCACTCAGATGTTGACCGGGGCGAGGGCCGCACCAAGTACCTGCTGACTGGGGAGGGAGCAGGCACTGTATTTGTGATTGACGAGGCTACAGGCAATATCCATGTCACCAAGAGTCTGGACCGGGAGGAAAAGGCACAGTATGTGCTATTGGCCCAAGCTGTGGACCGAGCCTCAAACAGGCCCCTGGAGCCTCCATCAGAGTTCATCATCAAAGTGCAAGACATCAATGACAATCCACCTGTGTTTCCCCTCGGTCCCTACCATGCCACAGTCCCCGAGATGTCCAACGTGGGTGAGTACCCTAGCTCTGAATGCCCCAGTTCCTGTCTCCTGCAACCCCTTCACCTCTCCCACCTTCACCCTCTGCCCCAGAATCCTCTCCTCCTCCTTTAATTCAGCCTCCCTCACATCTGGGTCTCCATCACCTGCTGTTCTCCCCCATCTCCCCCTGCTGCTGCTGCTGAGTAAGGTGCTGGGATCCCCCACAGGGACATCAGTAATCCAGGTGACTGCTCATGACGCTGATGACCCCAGCTATGGGAACAGTGCCAAGCTGGTGTACACGGTGCTGGATGGACTGCCTTTCTTCTCGGTGGACCCCCAGACTGGTAAGGATGGAGCTCTGGGGCCTTCTGGGGCAGCCACGGGGATAGACACTCCCTGACTCAGTGTCTTTACCTAGGAGTGGTGCGAACAGCCATCCCCAACATGGACCGCGAGACGCAGGAGGAGTTCTTGGTGGTGATCCAGGCCAAAGACATGGGCGGCCACATGGGGGGGCTGTCGGGCAGCACTACAGTGACCGTCACCCTCAGTGATGTCAACGACAACCCCCCCAAGTTCCCTCAGGGTAAGGGGCAGCGCTGCGCCTGAGCTTTTCTCTGACTACTTGACCCTTACAGTATTAGGAGAAGCTGCCCCTCTCCACCCCTAGCCCAACCAGACCCTGGGAGAATGAAGTGCTGGGATAGGGAGGAGGGCTGAGGATCTCTCTAAAAACAGGTTTCTCTTAGGCTGGGGATTTAGCTCAGTGGTATCTCTGCCTCCTGCGCAAGCGCAAGGACCCAAGTTCGATCCCCGGTACCAAAAATAAATAAATAAATTAATTAAATAAATAAAAACACATTTCCCCTCCATTCTCCTCCAAGGCCTGTACCAGTTTTCTGTGGTAGAGACGGCTGAGCCTGGTGTTTTGGTGGGCCGCCTGCAAGCCCAGGACCCAGACCTAGGAGACAATGCCCTCATGGCATACAGCATCCTGGATGGAGAAGGTTCAGAGGCCTTCAGCATCGGCACTGACTCCCAGGGTCGAGACGGGCTCCTCACTGTCCGCAAGGTTAGCCTCCTGCCTGTTACCACTCTCAGATGGGGGGGTCAGAGGGGAAGCTCAGTGGTAGAGCATTAGCACGCATAAGGCCTGGGTTCAATCCCTAGCATGTGAAAAAAATAAAACAGAACACAACAAAAAATTCACCTGCAGACTTACTTTATCTCCCACCCATTGGGCACATTTCTAATGGGTATCCTAGAACACACTGAGGACCCTATGCTGGACCCTCACAGATGAGCCCTCAAGTTAGACTATGTAACATGCTAGCCACCATAACCCCTGAGGTCACAGCCACTCCAGGGCCACCTCTGCTCTGCACTGGATGCACATAGGGAAAAGACCTCGCCTTTGAGCTGGGCCTGTCCTGGTTTCTACATGCCTCACTCACTTGTTGTCTTCCCTGACCATAGCCCCTAGACTTCGAGACCCGCCGTTCTTACTCCTTCCGTGTGGAAGCCACCAACACACTCATTGACCCAGCCTACCTGCGGCGAGGGCCCTTCAAGGATGTAGCCTCAGTACGAGTGGCTGTGCAGGATGCCCCAGAGCCACCCGCCTTCACCCAGGCTGCCTACCACCTGGCAGTGCTGGAGAACAAGGCTCCTGGGACCCTGGTGGGCCAGATCTCAGCCATGGACCTAGATTCCCCAGCCAGCCCAATCAGGTAAGCGGGGAGTGGGCTGGGGAGGGGCTGGGCCTCCAGGAAGGAGCCCAGAGGCAGCCTGTTCCCACCCAGCCTGTCCCTTTCCCTTGCTGTAAATTATACCTCCCAGCGAAGGTCTCCCTGCAGCCCAGGGGAGCGTGGAAGGCCCTCCCGACCCCTGCTCAAAACGTCATTGGATAAGTGGATCTCTCTTGATCACACACACCTAAGTGTTTCACGGTTTACCCACTGGATAACATTTCACTCTCACAGCACCCCTGTGAAGGAAGTGTTATCCTTGCCAGTTGTTTTAAAGGCCAACTGCAACTTCGAGTGGTCAAGTAATTTGCCCACAGTAAGTAGCAGAACTGGGGTTGAAGCTGGTCTTGTCTGCCTTGAGGACAGCCACTCTTGCCACCCCCCAGGCAGTATCCTGTCACACCTCTGAGGGAGGTACTGGTGTATTTCTCATTTTGAACTGAGTACAAAGAGGTCAAACGGGCCGGGGATTTAGCTCAGTGGTTCCTTTGCCTGCCTGCCTGCCTCGCAAGCACAAGGTCCCGAGTTCAATCCCCGGTACCAAAAAAAAAACAAAAAAAACCCAAAGAGGTCAAACAATTGGCCTAAGGTCACACAGCTGGTCTGAGGCAGAGCAGGGCTGAAACACAGGTCAGTGGGTCCCCAGAAGAGAGCCCAGAAGTCTGAAAGACAGCTAGTGTTTCTCCCCTTTCACATCCTTCTGTGGTTCTCCCTTACTCCTATGAAACCCAATCCCCCCGAGTCTGATGGGACCTCCCAGGGACATTTGCCTTTTAAGGGAACTCCAGCCTAAATTATGGGGCTCTGGAGCTTGGACCCTCTGCCCACATGAGCCATGAGGCCCAGCAAGATGAACAGAGAGGGGAAGGAGGGAGGGGTGGCAGCCCCCAGATCAGCCCCAGCCCACCCCATCTTCCCCAGATACTCCATCCTCCCCTACTCGGATCCAGAGCGTTGCTTCTCCATCGAGCCCGAAGATGGCACCATCAGAACAGCAGCGCCCCTGGACCGAGAGGCTCGTGTCTGGCACAACCTCACTGTGCTGGCCACAGAGCTCGGTGAGGCGTCCTGGGCCCTAAGGAGGCAGCATGCTCCCTGCAGAGGGGCTGTGCCTGGGCATGGGGGGTGGGGAGGCCGTCACACCCTCCCCAGTGTCCAGTTCCCAGATCCTGAGCCTAGATCCTCCCCACCCTGCAGGCCTCCTGTCTCCTAGGCAGGGCTGCTCTGGAGCCAGGGGTTTGCCTGAGCACAGCCCTGAATGCAGAACTTGGATTAGCCAAGAGCCTAGAATCCCTGGGTCTTGCCCATGCACTGGCAGACCCTGCCCCATCTGTGCTTCTTGCCGGGCCTCGGCTCTTCTCTGAGGGCTAAGCCAAATCCACCTTCAGCCCCTCCCAGAGCAGCCCTGGTAGAAGCCCTGCAGGTTCCTCCAAGGTGGGGGAGTGGGGCCAGCTCTCTTGTGCAGCTCTCTTGTGCCCAGCCCACCTGAGTCACCAGCAGCCTGGGAGACAGGGATACCTCCTGCCCCTCTGTGTAGAGCCCTTTATCCCCCTGTGCATTCCCCTGCCGTCTTCTACTGAGTGTCCAAGCTGTGCTTGTGGTGTAAATGCTTGCACATGTCAGTGAAGAGCTGTATGGATGTGTATATGTGTTTATATACTCAGGTATGTGTATACTTCCATGTATGTGAAATGCACGCATATGTATATAAGTGGGTATGTATGTGTCTATAACTGAGTGTTTAGATAGAATTACTTATGTATATGTGTGATTGGATGTGTATAGTGGCATATACAAGGAGTTGTTTGTATATATTTTGTTGTATATGTGGGTGTTTGGAGACAGATAATAACTTATTTCTTACTGTGTATCAGAAACTATTTTAAGTTCCAAAAATGGATTAACTCATTTGTCACCAAAATTTTATGAGGGAGATGTGAGTATTTCCCTATTTGTAAATGAAGAAACTTAGGCATAGAGAAGTTAAGTAACTTTCCAAGGTCACACAGAAATTAGGTGATGGAGCCATCTGACCCAATCAGTCCACAGCCTAAGCTGTGGACTTCCCTACTTCACTGTACTACCTTTCATGGGAGTTTGACTGGGTTTGCTTTTATATACGCAACTGTGTGCTACCTGGCAGTGTTGTGTGTCTATAGTTGTAAAGATGTCTGTGTAGATAACTGTGTGTGTGTGTGTGTGTGTGTGTGTGTGTGCGTTTCCCCCTGTCTTTTCACCCTCCTGTCAAAGTCTGCCCTACCTCACCCTGACCCTGGCTGGCAGCAGTGAAAGAGCCGGCCCCATCCCATTTGATCACAGACTCTAGAGCCAAGCAGTCTGCTCACCCTCCCCTGCCTGGGCTGCAACCTCAGCCCTTCCCACCAGGGCCAGCCAGCTCTCCCCCTACCTAGGAAAAAGACTAAAGGAATTGAGAGGCTCAGCCTAAGAGAGATGACAGGGAGACACACTTTGCATCCTCATGGATGGCATTGGCAGTGAGAAGCAAGGTAGGGTACTGTGGGGAGCCACCTGCTGAGGGGGATGGGTGAAGAGGGGCTTGTGTCTGGCTGTGGTACCCAGGCTCTGCAACCTGAAGACGTAGACCATGAAGTTCCTCCTTCCCCAAGGTCAACACTGAGTGATTCTCATTGCTGCACTACAGCCTCCCAGACCTCTGATGAGATGTGTGTGTGCGCGTGTGTGTGAGTGTCCATCCACTGGTGCTGTGCCTGACTGCTGTACATAAAAATGCATTCTCTGGGCCTGGGATGTGGGGTGTGTGGTGCTGCTTTTGACATGTATCAAACATCTGCTTCGTATATGTTGGATTTATTTTCACCACTCATATTGGATATATGGTATGACTGTGTGTGTATGGCTGTTGTCTACACTCAACCTGTATGCATTCTCATTTAGGCGACGTGTGCCCTGTGTATGGGCATCGTGGGCACTGTGTTCTGCTGCGTGTATATTGTATATTGTACATGTCTAGGGTACTGCATGAATAGCATATGCACTTGGTGTTGTTTCATTCACTTCACATGATTTGCTGTCTGCATATTACATGCTTCTTTCACGTGTTGCATGTGCACACTATGTGCTGTGTGTGATATCCATGGCAATGCATCATGTATTTTGTATATAAACTGTGTTGTATGTCCTGTGTGGTGTGTATGTGTTGGTGTTCTGGCTTCAGACAGCTCCGCACAGGCCTCCCGTGTCCAAGTGGCCATCCAGACCCTGGATGAAAATGACAGTGCTCCTCAACTGGCTGAGCCCTATGACACCTTTGTATGTGATTCTGCAGCCCCTGGCCAGGTGAGCACCTGAGGCAGATGGGTTGGGATTTCAAGGCCTCCAGCAGCCCACTCCATTCAAGACTTTTCTTCTTCTTTTCAGTTGATTCAGGTCATTCGGGCCCTAGACAGAGACGAAGTTGGCAACAGTAGCCGAGTCTCCCTTCAAGGTCCTCTGGGCCCTGATGCCAACTTTACTGTCCAAGACAACCGAGGTGGGTGGCATCCTGCAATCATGCCTGTGACTGTCTCCCTCCTCCTGTCCTCCACCACCCCCAGCCCAGCCTGCCTGACCCCTGCCCCACCTGTCGGCCTTCCAGCCAGAAGGCAGGTGTACATATACACTCACGTGCTTGCTCCTTGCAAACCTTCCCGTGGACTGGACCAACCCTATCAGGAAGGCTTCTCAGGAGGTCCCCCAACACCTTTCCTTTCCCACAGATGGCTCTGCCAGCCTGCTGCTGCCCTCCCGCCCTGCTCCACCTCGCCAGGCCCCATACCTGGTTCCCATAGAACTGTGGGACTGGGGGCAGCCAGCACTGAGCAGCACTGCCACTGTGACTGTCAGTGTGTGCCGCTGCCGGCCTGATGGCTCTGTGGCGTCCTGCCGGGCCGAAGCTCAGCTCTCCCCCACTGGACTCAGCACTGGTGCCCTGCTTGCCATTGTCACCTGTGTGGGCACCCTGCTTGGTGAGTCAGGCCACAGTAGGACATAGTGGTGAGATGAGGGCTTGCAAGGATTATGGAGAAGACCCAGGTTCCTGGACATAGGGATTGAGTGACCCCTTAAGCCTGGGTTTTCCCACCACCTGCTGTGTTCAGGAGAAAAGCACTGACTTCATGTCCTTGATCTGCCAATCCACAATGATTGGCGTAAAAATTATCTTACTGGACCCCTGTTCTCTCCCAGGTGTGGTCCTGGGCACATCACTTGTGGTATTTCCTTTATCCTTTCAAAAACCCTAAGAGGTAAAAGTGTTTTCTCTGATTTCCACTATGCAAACTAAAGATCAAAAAGGTTCAGCGAAGAGGGCTGGGGATTTAGCTCAGTGGTTCAGCGGCCGGCCTCGCAAGCGCAAGGTCCCGAGTTCCATCCCCAGTACCAAAAAAAAAAGGTTCAGAGAAGTTAGGCAACTTTCCATGGTCAAACAGCAAGTGAAGAGTGGAGTCAGGATCCAAAGCAAAGCACTTCAGTTGTCAGACCTCAGTCAGCTGCCTCCACTGCCCCAGCCCGGCCACATCCTGCCCAGGGCCCCCCTGGCTCAGGCCTCCGTTCTCTCCCGCAGCCCTCCTGGTGCTCTTTGTGGCCCTGCGGCGGCAGAAGCAAGAAGCACTGATGGTCCTGGAGGAGGAGGATGTCCGTGAAAACATCATCACCTACGATGATGAGGGTGGCGGCGAAGAGGACACAGAGGCCTTCGACATCACGGCTCTGCAGAACCCTGACGGGGCGGCTCCGCCGGCGCCCGGGCCTCCTGCCCGCCGAGATGTGCTGCCCCGGGGGGCGCGGGCCCAGCGCCAGCCCCGGCCCCCTGGCCCTGCTGACGTGGCGCAGCTGCTCGCGTTGCGGCTGCGTGAGGCAGATGAGGACCCCGGGGTGCCTCCCTATGACTCGGTGCAGGTGTATGGCTACGAGGGCCGCGGCTCCTCCTGCGGCTCCCTCAGCTCGCTGGGCTCTGGCAGCGAGGCCGGTGGCGCCCCGGGGCCCACGGAGCCCCTGGATGACTGGGGCCCACTCTTCCGCACCCTGGCCGAGCTGTACGGGGCCAAGGAGCCCCAGGGCCCCTGAGCTCCAGGCCGCGCTCACAGGCCCTCTGAGTGAGCCCCCGGGGTCCAGGCGGGCGGCAGCAGCCCAGGGGCCCGGCCTCCTCCCACCCCGTGCCCCTCCTCCCTTCCCAGGGCACGCTCGCTCCTCTCCGAACCCCTACTCCTGAGCCGTCTGTGTGTCTCTCCAGGGATCTCTGTCTGTCTGTGACACTCTGTCCGGGTCTGGGTTTGTCTCCTAGACCCTGAACCTCTGCTCTCTCACTGTGACACCTTCTCTGTGGCTGTTTCTGTCTGCGTCCGAGTCTCCCTTGCCCACACACATGCTGTGTCTCTCTCTCCAACCCTCACCCCCCTCCTTTTCTCTGGGTCCCTGTAACTGGTTCTTTGGGGTTTTTTGGTTGTTGTTGCTGTCCACCCCAAAAAGCAAGAGAAACTTCCAGCCACTGCTGCCCACCCTCCTGCAGGGGATACTCTGCCCCAGGTCAGTGACCCCGGGCCCCCGGGCAGGGGGTGGGCAGAGGCCACCCCCCAGGCCTGCCCCTCACCACCATCCTCTCCCTGTCCTCGCAGACCTGCCCGCATGGTTCCATCCATCACTCATGGCCTCATCCTGGCTCTACCGGCCTCCAGCAGAAGGAGGGAGCCGCCCACCTCCCAGGGCTAGAGCTTCAGGCCAACTGGCTGCCTCTCTGGAGCTCTGCCCAGCAGTCAGCGTGCCCTTGGTGACCCCGGCTCTGGGCATTGTCTTGTGTGCTTCCCAGGCCCCAGAGGAGGGAGAGAAGAAAAGAGGGAGGAAGGGGAGGAGCCTCCATCTCTAATTTCATAATAAACAAACACTTTATTTTGTAAAACCTGACCGAGCTTCTGTTGCTCCAGGAAGATTTCTGGACAGAGATTCATTTGCACTGAAGGATGGGAGGACAGGCCCAGGTTATAACCCCCTCTTCCCATCCCCGGCCCCAGCTCATTGCTTCTCCTTGAGGGAAACCACTTCAAAACCCTTTATGGCACAGGAGGGTTTGCATCCTCCATTTGGACAGAAAGTACACCCCCATTCCCACCACCGACTCTCCAGGTTCCCTGCCCTGCTAGTCTCAAACTGTCCAAGGAAATGGAAATGTGGGGATTTGTCAAGAGGGAAAGGTGGGCAGAGGAATACTGGGTAAGAGCTGCAGAGGAGAGAAGAGAAAAGATAAAGACTAGGAAGAGAGGAAAAGAAGGTTCCAGGCTAGGAAAACAAGTGGCTGGGTGGCAACAGAGAGAGGCAAGTGAGCCTTTCCTGGGGAATGCAGTGCCAGCTCCAAAAAGGGCCAGTCAGTCACTGAAGCTGGGCCTGCTGCTCCCACCTTGAATTCTCTCCCCAGTCTTGATCTTCATGGAGCACAAGGGAGGAAAGAGAGGAAGTAGGGAGAGGGGCTGCAGAGGGCAGAATCAAGTCCCTTGAGGTGGCAGCTGAGGGGAGTGGCCAGCATCTCCAGTGTTCACTCCCACAGCGAGCCAGGGACGGGTCTGGCCAGATACCACCACAGGAAGCAGGCCTCTCTCCAGGCAGGACCCTAGAGGCACACAGAAGGAAGTAAGGCAGGCAGTCCTTGTGACCTTCCCCTAGTGGGGTGCTGGCAACTAGGGAAAGCTGCTTCAATAGGAACATGCCTTCTCACACCTTGCACACCTGCTGGGTGGCAAGAGGACAAGGACCTTCACTCCAGTCCCAGCTGTCATTTACTCTGCTGAAGCTGGAGCACTGCACCGCTGACAGCCAAGAGCCTAAGAGCAGTCAGTCCATCGCCCTGGCCTCAGGAGATTGTGGAGGCAGCATCCCAAGCTAGGGCATCAAAGAGAACAAAGAGAGCACTGCCCAGTTTACGGCAAGAAAGGCAAGATCTCTGCCCCTCTGCTCCACCCTGATACCTGCATCAAACCTTCAGGAATTACTGGAGCAATGGAGGAAATGACTCATGGCCACTCTTAGAGAGGAGTGCACTTAGAATGGGATGTTGTCTTTGCCTGACTAGCCCTCCCTCACATCCTCCTGGGGTCCTCCCCAAACTCGTTAAAAACTTAAAGGGCCTTGCAAGCGCAAGGATCCAAGTTTGATCCCTGGTACCAAAAAAACTTAAAGGATGCCTAGAATCCCACCACTCTGGAGGACTGCAAGTTTGAGGTCAGCCTGGGCTATATAGTAGGTTCCAGACTGGTCAGCCTGGATTACATAGCAGGGCCTTATATTAACAAACAAACAGGGGGGAGGGGATTTAGCTCAGTGGTTCCACTCCCTGCCTTGCAAGTGCAAGGTCCCGAGAGTTCCACCCCTGGTACCAAAGAAAACAAAACAGGGCCAGGGATTTAGCTCAGTGGCACCATGCCTGCTTGGCAAGTGCAAGGTCCTGAGTTTGACCCCTGTACGGGGGATGGGGGGAAACCTTACTAGTTTTTTCCTTTTAAGTTTCTGCAGACCATAGGAAAACAGCCTTGTCAGGAGGACCACCAGGTTTGTCTCTACTCTCAAATACCTCATCATTTGAAAGGACAGAACCTGTCAAAGGTAGTGAAGGTGGTCAGGGCTATGGAAGGAAAAAGGTGGGAAGAAGTAGGGTAGGAGAAGGAGATGCAAGAAGAGGGAGCTTCCCTCCAGTTCTGCCCTCTCTAGGTTCAATCCTCCTCATCCATGTGGTTCACAGCAGCAGAGTCCCACCCCCCGACCCCCGAGGCTGGGAGTGGGCAAGGGGTGAAGGAGACTGCTGTGGAGGCCGCTGGCCAAATCCCTTTACCCTGCCTAATCCCTGGGACTGGGCACCTGTCCCCGCTTCCCCGGCACAGCTTCCTCACCACCGCCACCCCATCCCCCGTCTCCACCATTTCCCTTGCTTTCCTTTCTGGAGCTCCTTGATCCTCCACAGGTGCCCGCTCAGACCAAGTCTAGAGGTCTCTGGTCTGGCCAGCTCCCACCCAGAAGAACTGTTACACTGAGGTGCAGGGGTGGCCAGGGGGAGGAAAAGCAGCCATTGTTTTGGGTTCTGGGGTGACAGTCCCCAACTTCCTTCAGGTCTCGTCTCCTAGGCCAACCCTGCTTTCTGTCCCCTGGTCTGAGGAGAAGGCAGTAGCCCTCCTGGAGCTGTCACCCTGAATCCAGGTCAGCACTCGCTGTGAAGGAGGACAGGAGGGACAGGAGGGACAGAAGGGGCAGCAGAGGATGTCCTACCTGCATAACCCCCCTGGCACAGCCACCCCCTCTTTTCTTCATTCTCCAGAGAGAGCATCACGGAGGACAGTCTGGAAGGAGAAAGAAGACATCTAGCGTGACAATGACAGGCCCGGAAGGGTAGAGAGCAGGGGTCGGCTGTGGGGATGGCTCCAGGCCCTGGCAGATGTGGCCCAGATGAGACTGGAGTAGGAGCAGCTTCCCTGAGCTATCCCTCCAGAGCCTCTGGCTCCTCAGGGTTTCTTCGTCCTGACCACTAGGGGCCCCCAGGCGGGGGCTTGGGCCAGCCACTCTCCCACATCACTCCCCAGAATCCAGGACAGTTGGGCCTAAAGCCCAGGCTCTGCAGGGAGAGGCCTGGATCTGAAGCCCTTGGCTGTCACCTACTATGTAACCTGGGCAAGTCCCATGACCTTGTAAGCCTGGTTCCTCTTCCATGAACTGAGGAACATTTTCCCTACAAGGGCTGCCTGCCTTCTGCTCAGCAGTGATCATTATAGTCACTACAGTGAAAGCAGAGGCTGGGAGCAACCGAGACAGTCACCACCAAATGGCCTCCCGCCCTGCTCTGGGCTCACACCCATCTGGGCCACTCTTTCTACATGGCTGAGAGGGGCTGTGTCTCACCAAGCTAAGATGGTGACCAGGAGAAAGAGACAGGCTGATGCTGCCATAGATAGAAGACCCACATGAGAGAAGAGAGCCTGGGGAGGGGTGGGGGGCAAAAAAAAGAGAAGAGCCAGAAAAGGAGATCTAGTACCTAGCACCAGTACCTAGCAAGAAAAGGAGGTCTAGCCCACTTGGCATCTGTTGGGCAGTAGGCACACAGCAAGTGTTTGCTCAAAGTCAGCTTGGAGCCGAGAAGGAGGATGGATAAACACATCAGGTGTCAATAGGAACGTGTTGGACAGAACCATCAATAGCTCTTGGAGGCAGAAAGGGTGGGGACTTGGAACAAATGAAGTAGGCAACCCAGAGGGGCTGGAGCCAGGTGCTTGAGGCTGCTCCCAGCAGAGCCTCCCCACTGCCCCCTCCTCCAGCCCACTCTCTCAGCCTGGTCCCCAAGTCCTGCACTTCTCACAGCCTCTCAGTCTCTGCTGGCATCCTGGAGTCTTCTGGTGCCATCTCCCTTGGCCCCACAGGGAATTCTCCACCTTCCTCAGCTCCATGAGGAATGACAGTCTCAGGCTGGGGCTGGCTGGACTCACCCTCCAGCTCTGGTTCCGGGAACATCTGCAGCTCCCTGTACACAACACAGGTGTCACTTCGTGACACATACTCCCAGCCGCTCTCCCGTACATGGAAAAGGTCTACAGAGCCCCCTGAGTAGGCATCACGGTGGGTGGCATGGGCCACAGCACAACGGGCCAGGGTGTAGGCTTCCTGGATGGTCATGTCGTAGTGGTAGCCACGATCTAGCACACCATAGGCATAGGGAGATCCAGAGCCCACGGAGAATATGTCCCCCTGCAAGCGGGTGCCATCACTGTACACGTAGAAGAGAGCAGGGCCAGAGCGGTCCCAGCCACACAGGGCAGTAGCCACACACAGATCCAGCCCCCGGTAGCGAGACATCATGGCTGACAAGAGCTTGGCTGCACTGGCCACACTGGGCAGCTGACCCTCCCTCAATGCCCGAAGCCGCAGCTCCCGCTGCAGTACCCGGTACCATGTAGCACAGTCAGCTGAGGTGCCAGAAGTGGTACCGAGGAGGTGCTGGTGCACAGGGATGACCTTGAGTGAAGTTGGACAGGCCACGTATCTGCCACAGGAGGAACGCGTGTCAGCTGCAGCAATAACGCCATGCCGGAAGCGGAAGGCCAGGGTGGTGGTGCCATGGGCCAGCCTGGGGCCGTGGATCCACAGGAAGGACTGAGGGTCACAGCCCCGGGGCACAACCCAGCCGCCAGCCTGAGGCAAGCGAGGGGACAGTCCCTGGATGTCAGGAGCCTGCCACTTGCACACATCCTGCAGAGCCATCCCTGAGGCTGAGTAAAGGGAGGAAGGAGTGGCACAGGGATTTGTGGGCTGAGGTCAGGTGGGGGAGAGGGACGCTACAGAGACGCTGGGCTGCTGCCAGAAGTGGTAGCAGAGCACAGCATGAGCTGCTGCTTCACCTCTCCCCAGCCCCAGTCAGGCTTGGGGATTGGTGGGTGGAGCCCCCTCCTCCTCAGAGCTGCTAAGGGGAAACAGGATGAGGCCAGCGGTGGGAGTCTCCAGCCTTGGAAAGACAGAGCCAGACGCTGCCCATCAGTCAGACTTTCACCTTATGCTGCCTGTGACACATCTGAGAGTCACTCACAGAGTCTCCTGTCTGTCATTCTGTAACCTGAGTGGAAAGGGGTCTGAAGTAATTCCAAAGGAAAGGGGCACATGAGGAGGAAACAGAGCTGCATCCCTCCTGCTTTTCCTGCATGAGACATTGGGCACCCAAAGACAAATGAGGCCCTGTCCCTGGCCTGTGAGGGCACCCAGCCTGGAAGGAGTAAAGACAACTCAGTATGGGGAGAGAGAGGAGGGGAAGGGATGAATAAAGAATTAAGATGTGTTAGGTATGTGTACAGACTCCCCACAAGCAATGTGACCATGTGTGCTACAAACATGTGCTAATAAAAAATGAACATTGAGAGGGGGAAAAAAAGACAACTCAGCTCTCTGATAGAGTCTGATAGAGTACTGTGGACCCACTGAGACAGGACCCCATCCCCTCCATGATGTGGAGGTGTGAGACCAGGAGGCTCTGAGGCTCAGCTCATACTTGCAACACATGGCGAAGACTGAGCAAAAATAAAATGGACTGAAGCAAACAAAAGAGAAAAAAGTGAGATGGTTTTGTAAAGGGGGGCAGAGTTAAAACAAGCTCAAATTCCTTCCAGAAAAGCAGGTTACTGAGGGGTGGTGAGGAAGGGAAATTGGAACCTGGAATGTTTGCTCCTCCTCCTCTGCACAAAGGTAGAGATGCCATTCCTGGTGGCTCCTGAGGGTGTAGCTGAAAAGGTCTAGTGCCTCCCTCTGGGTTCCCTCTTCTGCCCAGTCATTCACCAAGGCAGGAAAGCTGGTTTGTAGTTCCTGACCTTAATCTCATCACACTGAGTCCCATTCCTAGACCAGCTAGGAGCGGTCTAGGGGTAAGGCCAGTGGACTTGCCTGGCCCTGCAGAAATATCAGGCAGAGTGACTAGCTGCAACCACTTCCAGCATCAGATGGAGTGGGTTTTCCTAACACTGCAGATCAAGGTGGTGCTATGGGAATGAGTTTATTCAAAGAAACACACCGAGCACTAGGGGTGAGCCAGACCTACCAGACAGCAGGGTCAAGGGGCTGCAGCACTGTGGTTTCCTTGGGTCTCAGTGCCAAGGGCAGCACAGACAACATGGGGACACTGGAGAAACCAGAGGGCGCCTAAGGTCCAGCCAGTCCTTTTCCCTGTGTAGGACCACCTGGGAGTTGTACTAAAGAGACAGGATAGATCCTCTTTCTAAAGACTAGATTTTAGGCTCTTATTTTTTTTCCATTGAGGTATTTTATTTGTATATATGTTTTACATCCCTAGAAAAAGAAGCCCAGGATTTTCCCTCTTGTGTTTCCATGTTGCTTTTTCATGGTCTGTGATGCCAGCTGAGGGTGTCAACACAATGAAACCAAACTACCAGCGTGGTGACGCACTCCTGTAATCCTAGTACTTGGGAGGCTGAGGCAGACAGATAACCACTAGTTCAAGGCCAGCCTGGGCTATATAACAAGACCCTGTCCAAAAAAAAAGAAAAAAAAGAGGGCCAGGGAATTACCTCAGTGGTTTCGCCGCGTGCTGCACAAGCGCAAGGACCTGAGTTAGATGCCTGGTACGAAAGAAAGAAGAAAGAAAGAAAGAAAGAAAGAAAGAAAGAAAGAAAGAAAGAAAGAAAGAAAGAAAGAAAGAAAGAAAGGAAGGAAGGAACGAAGGAAGGAAG